AAGCGGCTACTCGTATCATGATATGATGAAAAATGCAATGAATGGTTATGTTTCATCCAAATATAAATGAATCTGCGTAGGTCGCAATTCCTGGAACATAATTCATTACGCCGATTGTCATTCCACTTAGTGGACGTGGACGTTATACAGACTTTGTTATTAGACGGTAAATTTCCAGCAACAAACTAATTTGTCTTTGTCTTAGAAATCTGTTTCTTCGAAAAACTCATCACGACATCATGACATTTTGAAACTAACCTAACTTATCACAGTTTTCTGGTTTACAACCTGTTTCATGACCAATTTTTCGCATTAATATAGAAATGCATAAACGACAGAATATGGAAACATAATGAAATATGGCATTCCTAATGACTTTCAGAATCACTGTAAGTATTTTAAACACCTTTGAATAGCTTGTCTACAACAAATGCATTGTTGGTTATATTTTATATTTGCAACGGAATTATTAATAATGACCCGATTCTACTACTCAGGTTAAAATTTGCCCAGACTGGTAGCATATTTTTATGAGGTGCATCATTTTTGTTGTTTTCTGCACGGCTCTAACAATTTCGTTCGCATCAACTGCTGAAACAATTTATTTCAGTTGGCATTCACTCTAGAAGGGAAAACTGTTTCTTAATATTTGTAAACATTGAATTCGTATTGTCAGATATTTTCCTTTAGTCCATCAGTGACCCATTCGACATCTCACAGTTTCACAGTGACTTTTATCGTCCGTTCAGCGATAAAAGGTCAGTGGTTTTAGTTCAGAAGTAGTTTTGAGAATTATGTTGACAAATGCATTTAGAATTCATAATGAACGACAGATAACGCAAAAAACAGACTTTGTCGATTCTTGGTTTATTTTATTGGTTCCGTATATCCTACGTTGAAGTCCTCCACCAGGTTTTACTAATCTTTTATGTTGGCCCCTACTTGTTTTTCTTTGGATTTCTCTACTCCATAAATTGAAAGTATTCGAAATATCTTTCTTCTAAACTTGACAGTATCCACAAGTATATAAGTAGTACATATAAGGAGTGCGAGAAAATGAAATGCTGCAAAAAAAAATAAGTAGAAAAATAGAATTAACAAAAAGTCATTTCTCCTTCTTTGACAATAAAATTTCTTGCATTGTTTTTTGAGACTTGACATTTGCGCATGCTCTTGATTGGAGTTAGTGTCAGTAGTACTTTTCATTCCTCCAAGTTGCTCTATAAAAAGAATTTTAGATTTCAAACTATTTTTCCCCCTTCTGTCATTAATGGAGCCGAAGTTATAGTGCAGAGATCTGTTAGCCCCCGGCTTAGTTCACTGGTCAAATACAGCGTATTCTGTCACCTGTTCATAGGTTTTTCATAAGTGAACCATTATTACCTTCTTTTCAACTGTATTTAAGCATTAAAAACCTGATGATAAGACAAAAAAGCGTCTCAAAGTTCGCACTGACTGCTGTCACTAATACGTTGGTCTTTTTTCAGATATTCATGAATCTTCTCCTTTAGACTATTTGGCAATGCAAGAATGCTATTCAAAATTTACTCGGTTGAACTATTAATTCTTGAGAGAATTTTATTAACTGACATGTTGCTAATTTTCCTTTTGATTTCTGTGATACATTTTAGTTGTTCATGTCTCTGCTCCTCCATTATGGCATTATGATGGGCTAGTTCACACTGCTGTTACTTTGCAACAGCATTCGTTTCAAAATCAGCTTAATGACCTTCATCGCAGGTGGGTGAGTATTGGGCAGCCGTATTGAGTTGGATTTCATGAGGAAAGGAGAAAGTAATCTAGATGCAACCACCACAATTGTTAAGTGGATCATATCGGTGATTTCTCATCTGTAAAAGTCGTCTTATTGACTATTAAGCAATCCACTTAGTCAGATCATCGTCAAGATCGATTATGATGGAGTTATATATTCCGATCCTGTCGGTGGATGGAACTCGTAGCCACATGTTTTATTGTGTATAAATCTAATCTTTCCAGTGCTGTAGCTTATCAGTAGAGTTGAGTATGGTCTATTATCTAGAAATGCATATGCAGTGAGACACATCGTAGTACCAATAACAGCAATACCATTGAAGGGAGCTATTCCATATAACAACAGGCGAGTGTTTATCTACTAGCCGAAAGTAGGCTAAAAACTGTCGATGTAAGACTTGAAGTGTTTTCTAAGGACTCTTCACATAGATTGTAGACACATGGGTAGTTGAAGAGCATTTGGAGTTACAGAAAAAGCTGTTACAGCATCAACCCAGATTATTGATACTTATTTTGAATCTCCAGGCACATCCTGAGGTTCCTCTTAATTCCCAATTTTACTCTTGATTTGCCCAGAACAGTTTGTTGCTTCTGATAACTGTTTATCAGATCTCGATATAGCTACAGAAATTACCATAGGAAAGCCGATGAATACCTTTTGTTAATTTGTCTGACTTTGTTTGTAAGCGTCGAAGTAGGCGTTAAGCAATGTGCCACATCTGTAGTGTGTTCATCTGACGGACGCTCTTTCACACTTAGCCATGTGTCTCAGGAATCTTTTCAACCTCAATTTAGGTTATTGGATGAAACTAGAGCAAACCATTTATAGTGTTATAACATGAGCAAGGTGTACTGAAATAGTTGTAGGAAGATATGTGATTCGGATATGGACTTGGCACAAACGATACTGTTTCAGACCTGAACGGAATTAACAGCGAAAGAATTATTTCAATGCACCTACTCATTGCTAAGTTTTCCAGGTCATTTAGCGTATTTTTCTCGATTAAACTCAGTTTCACTACCCAACTAGCTGTCAAAATATAAGAATTCATTATGCTTACAAGGACGCCAAAGCAAGCTGTACTAACTTCTGAGTTGCATAACTAAGGAGAGAGTACACAAACGGAATTCACCTTTAATAAAAAACCATTTACATTCCGAAGGCAAGTTATCACGTATCCTTATGCTATGCATCATTCTACAATCCCCTACATTTAAATTTGGGAGATATCTGAGCAGTATACAGTTTTCCCAAAGATTTCAAGTTGATAAATGAAACTTCTCTCATTGTTTCCAGTTATATTTTCCAGTGGGAAACCATAACCTATGGGGAAAACCATGTTAAGTTGTATGGTCGCCGCTGACACTGTATGAAGATAGAAGTTGGAAAATATTAGGCATCGAAGTAAAAACTAGGGGTTCAGTAAATGATACGCTCGTCATGAACCTTAGAAGTCTAGGATTAGAACCATTAAGTGCCTGCTGACTCCCATGGCTGAGGAGCCCCATAATGATAAAGAACAGTTATCCAATCCTCAAAGGATTTCAATGCTGTTCCAAGCGGTCAGTCCATGGTGAATACTACCTCTAAAATTGAAGCGAAATCACTGCATTGTTCCCATCAAGTGGACCGGGAGACATAGAAAAGAATAAAGAAGGAAAAGAAGCTCATTCTCATTAACGAGGCGAACCAATTAGCTGGATTTTACTAGTCCTTAGTCTTCAATGAAAAACATAAGACGGTAAATTGTTAGCAATATGAGTAATGCTACTTAAAAGTATTACGTAGTATAACAAGATAACAAAACAAAAGTACATTGGAAGGAAAACTCTCAAAATAAATAAATAAAGCATAAATAGTTTTAAAATAAGTTACTGAATGTTTATTTGAATTAGGGAAATATGAAAGGGTCGTCATCAAAAGGAACTTTTCTAAAATCAACTCCTGATTAAATTTCATAAATCTCAAGGTCGAACAAAACATTTCCTCAGTAAGCAATTGTTTTCAATGTCTGCCTGATGAACACAGCCAAGGAAAGTATTTTCTTGTAACATATTTATCGGGTGAAAAATTCATTGAACCTTTCACTCAAGTGACAGTGTCGTATTCATTTTCTATGGAAAGTTGGAAATTGCTAAAAGCGGTTTACTTTTATGCGTAGTTTACTCCACCTAAATATTCATTAAAAAGTGAGGTGGCTTTATATCAATTTAGATTTCATCTGAAGAATGTAGGAGAATGATAATTTATCACAGCTTGAATTTTTATGGAACAGTTCCTGTCAACCTTGTTTTCATACCTTGTTAACACTTAGATCCTTCAATTTTTTAAACCTTTTATGCATCACTTCACTGCCTTTTAGTATGGGACTTATGAAAATTCGTTAACAAAGCAACTTGTACATCGCAGTGTTATTTAAACAGAAATAGATTACTCACTTGTAATCAACTCATGGACATTTTTGGCGGCAACATATCTTGACTTCAACGTCTTTATTGGGTTATTTGAAAATTCTGGTAATTATGTGACTCCTTAGTGAGTCGACATCAGAGAAATCAGCATACTCATAAGTAGTTACAAACAGGGAGAAATATACAAATCCGGGTAACTGTATCAAACTACTTTGACACGTGATTCTAACACACAAGCTTATAAGGCTCACTTATCATTTGTTATCTACTGGATTCCTGACGCAATATATGGGGATGCTAACCTGAAGAACGCTAGTAATAATAGTAAATACATGCGTAAATCGCTAGACACAGTTTTTGTGGAGCAACAGAGAACACAGTCTGATGCTTTGACGCATGCATATGAAAAACTATTTCCAGGCCATAGGCAAATATCTTACTCTGTAGCAATTTTCATCTATAACAGTCTCGACTTTACTTTCAAAAATCACTTTTATTATTTATAAGTAGAACTTTTGTATGCCTTCTTTTGGATAAGAAATGCATGCAGTAAACGGAAAGATACTTTAGCATCCTGTTTTATGGGTCCATTCACCTTGTAACCGTCAATTAAGAGTAAGGATCTATCACAGGTGAAAAGCTTATGAACAATTTATTCACGGTGAATTCTGTGCCTCAAATGATTGAAATTGAAGAGTTATGCAACGTTTCCATGAATAAAATTTCAAATGAAATGTATCGAAAAATAAGTTATTATGAGACAAATTTATGATATAACAGGGACTAGACAAATTTCTTCTCGAGGAAACCCATTAATATACCCTGTACACATTAAAAATACTTTGAACAATTCAAATGAAAATAGTACGTTTTCGAAGCATTGGTTAGACAGTTATTGTTCTGCAAAACAAAGAAAGGTATTTCAATGATTTTAAAGATTTTTACTCCATTCTTTGATTTGCTTTGTAGTTTCCGCCAGCCTCCATCGTCTGTCTTTCGATTCGTTTCATGTAGACAAGCAAAAGCCTTGAAGAAAAGGAATGAGCAAACTGACTACGGCTAAATGTATGATTTATGGGGTGTGTCATTAGGCAAAAATAATCTATTAAGAGATAGTTTTTGTGAGTTGTTAGTGATCTACGTTGTTTGCTGAATAACTGATCTTGGATCACCGTTTCTAAGCTAGGATATCATTAAAGTGGACGATGATGGTTACCGTTAATTATTTTCCTTGTACGTATAGCATATATTCCATAATGAGAACGACCTTCTCAGTATTATCGTTTATCAGGTTATACCAGTCTTTCTCTATGTCCATCTTTGCACTTCAACAGGGTGTATTTGGATGTAAACTAACAAACTAACAGATTTTGTACAGATGTCTATTTAACACCGTTCTCGATTTGACACTTTAGCAAATAAATACTTTGGGAAGTTAATCATCCCACAATATTAAAGAAGCCTGAATTTTATCTTTGTGAATTTTCTATTATTGATGACACTGTGCTAGTGCAACCAAGAAGCTAGAATGACTCAGAGAGGAAAAAGCAGTAAGTCCATTAGTAAGTAAACTAAAATGGTGATATAATCTGAGGCATGTGTTTATAGACTCAGGTCTTAGACATAAACTGACAAGGCTACTTTTGTATTGCAGAGTTAATAGCTTCAAGAATGTGTTTCGTATTTGAAAATTATGATTTTAGATAAATGTATTTCTCATCAACTCAGGGGAACATTCAAAGGGAGGTGGCATTTTCAAACGATTAAGATATTTTCTATGAAAAGGTTTGTTTAACCTGAAATTAAACACTATATAAGACTTGTAGACCTAAAAAAATCTATTTTACGTGTATGAGAAGGACACTTATTGTTCTGATCTATATAGAGTTCGAAACAGTTATTCAAACACTGTCATGAAATTAACTGGCCATGTGCTCACAGAACTTATGCAGTCAAACCCATAGGTGCTTGACTACTTTTCAGTTTAAATCCTTGGTACTGGTTAAAAAGACTTCTTCCCCATTGAACAATATCTATGCCGACATTGTTCAAAACCATCTGGAAGTGAGTTTAGAATTTACATCTGATGTTGATATGATACTAATGACATCCTGACTGATCAACAAACGACCAGTGCGGAAGAGTCTTTTCATTTTGTCTTTCTTTCTTCATCTTCCCTAGTTTTTAGGCTATTCGTGTTTAGGATCAAATTATGCACCGTGTTGTATGAATGTATTTGGCCGCTTGCAAAGAAAACACTATTCATAAAGCTACAATTTTGTGGTGATATGCTTAGTGAGATTCTATTCTACAGATTGTCAATAACCATTAAAAGAACTTATACAGCAAATATCTGTCTATTGTTTTCTAGTCGACGGTTCGTTACTTGTCAGGCAAAGGACAAGTTACCTAGTTTCACCACTTCTGTATGTTTTTACCAGTTTAATTACTCCTGTGGAGATAATTATATTGGGCGTATGACTAAGCAACTTAACCAAGGTATTGAGGAATACCTACCTTCTTGGCTAGGTAAAGAACAGGTTAAATCAATAAGAAGCTCTGTTTTGTCACATCTAGTTGAAAGTGATCATGGAGTAGATAAGAAGGATTTATGTCTAAAATAGTACTTGATGTTATTGCCATGTATTAACGTTAATCTACTGAAAAACAAAACTTACATATCTAATATCAACAAAATGAAAATGAGTATTACCACCACAATGAAAACGGCTTCCGGAAAAGTTGTTACAGTGGCTGCATATATAGCGGGTAGAGCGGTTAAGCTGATAGCTAGACCAATACGAGCAATAAACTCTCCTATGCATTGAATAATACCTAAATGAAAGTAAATACAAAACGTCATGATGATTCATTTGTTTCTCAGACTGTAGAGCTATATACCTATTTGTGTTTTCCAAACTTTCTCTTACTTGCTAAATCACATCTTTTGCAATTATCTAATGCACTCAAGAAAATGCAGTTTTGTAAAACGTTTCACAACTACAATCAAATTTATTTCTGCTTAAAAGATTTCTGAAATGAGAATGTTTGGAATTAATTTGAAGTCAGTGAGAACGGTAAAAATATTTACAAAACCATTGATTCACATGTACTGCTCTTTATTGTAGACTTATTCATTTTGAAGTACCTTTCACTTAAGTATTTGTAAAATTGAATTTTGAATACCAACTTGAAATATTTGTAAAAATGTTATTTATGTAATTTGTTGTATTCACTTTGTGTTTGTTAGTGATACCTCCTTGTGCAATTGTTGTTTTAAAACTATTTTAAATTGAAAAGCATTAGCATCCATCAGTCCTTCTGACAGATGATACTTATATACAACTGGTATGTATTTTATGCTTTCTTGAATTTTAATGATCATTGGATGTTACACAAATGCATTAGAATTATTAATAGTGTACTGTTCTATATTTCATCTTACTGAAAACACAAACTATTTGGTCAATATGGAATGTTTATCTAGACAGATTGTTTCATTTTTTATTGCACTATTTATGTGGCTTCCCTTATCAGTATTTGAATAGTGACAGATTTTAAGCAAATCTTTATATACTGCAAAGAAGTCTGAAGAAAACTTAAACATATAAGCATGAAGAGTTAACAATCGATGAATGTGAATGGGTGCATTTTAGAATACAGGCAAAAGGTTAACCACAAGTTTAATTAGAAGGTTTGAGATACATTAAGTAATTTCTATTATGTTTTCATCCAGGAATGAAATAAATCAGATAATCAGGTTCTCAAGAGTTGAAATTAATCAGTTTTTCACAAAACTTTTAGTCAAATAAAAATCGGATGTTCGATTCTTGCTTGCTAAGAAGTGGATTTTCCGAGTATCTGTGATCTGTGGAGTCAACCCAATCACCTATGAGGGAAAATACTCACCTGTGGCGTTGGATGATGACAGAAGTTATAAAGCACGTACCACCGGGTTTCAATGCAATAACTGAGTCGTAAGATGTCAGCTGTGAGACCTGACGAATGAGACCTCAGTCACTTATCAGGTTGTTGTTGCACTCTGTTTATGAGTTTCATGCTATGATGGTGAATGTTGATCTGGGATGGAAAAGTCGTTGACTTTAGCAGGACGTTTTTGATCATGAACAGTTTCAAGTAACATCATTTCTTTTTTCCAGAAAAAGTCTTCTGAGAAATTTGACACAAATTAAATAGTTGATACTTTATCATGTAGCCTTCACTGTAGCAGAGACTTAATGCTACGTCATCGACCAAGAATGTATCCTTCTAAAAATTTGTTTCTATTTTTTGTACACTGGTTTAAAATTGTCTTTCATCTGAGATTACTATTCAACATATATGAGAAATGGTTTTGAATATTGGTTGACAGTAAGAACTTCTAAGTTTTAAGTTGATTTCATTGACTTATAAGTCAGCACTAAACCATGATTACTATTTTTGGCATCTACCGTTGATCAGAAAATCACAGTACCAATGGAGTCTTCTTAGCTTTTGGACGGACAAGGTGAATGTTTTCATTTATGTAAATAATACTAAAAAGTAGTGGCTTACTTAAGCTGAGCACTGTCAAGCTACTTCAAACTGTACTGTTATTTTAAATAAATGTTTTGAAGGAGAGTAGACCCATGTTTCAGTATAAACAAATTTCATACTTCTATGTTTCCAAAAAATACTGTCAAGAGAAACATGTACACATAGCTTATTCATCGGTATCAGGCTGGGCCAAGTCTAAGTGGAACTGAAAACGAAAAATGATTTTAGCAATTATTATAGTATAATAATGAAATGAATTTATCCATGTTTTTACACCTACCTTGTTTGTCTGGAGGAGCCACGATCGTGAACATGATATGCACAATTGACGTAACCAAGTTCTTAACCACTTTCGGTATAGCAGCTGTAATTGAGAATATAACTTTATCATCAGTAGTAATGTGCGATTTCATCAATGATAAATGCAGCACTCCAAAATTACGCAGTGAATAAATCAGTCCTGTTAGTCAACCTGTTTTATGCAAAGAATTCAGTGTTAATCAGGCATGTATTCTGATAACAGCCAGTACCACAGAGATTTGTCAGCTGAATAACAAAATCTAGTAAGCAATTGTGACTGGTAGTTCAAATGACAGAGTGTCAAATAGAAAACCTGAAAGTCATTTGTTTAAAATCCTTCTAACATCAAGACATTTTGGAGTCTGCAGTCATCTCAACTTCACATAGTATGATTATTTCATACCTATGATGATACTAACCATACAAAATTAAGCAATTTTTACACTGAAACATTTTCTTACATTTCAACTTTTTCAACGTTTCCTACCAGGGTTAGAATAAATTGGGTGCAATGTGCTACTGGAAATCAATATTGAGGAAACGGACTTATTGAAATACTCAGAGAAGTCAATTAAATATTTAGCTATACATTTATTTCGATTGAAAATTTGATTCGGTCATGATTAGTTATCGGAAAACAATTCATCGAGGAAAGTTTTCTGTCCGAGGGTATCGCTCAAACTCAAAGTTAACCAGTACTTTTGAAATGAAATAAAAGTTAAATAACATAAAGTTAACGAAGGGAAAAATATTCACTTTTGGTGTGATAAGCCTTTATGCCAATATACTAACTAACATTGCACTTATGGCACTTAGAAATGATTTCATCACTAACCAGAAACTCATTTTAAGAAATCATGCTAAGAATTAGGCTATGCTCAGCTTCCATGGTCTTCACATTTTAATATAAATTATGTGAATAAGTAGGAGAGTATCCCTAGTATCCACATTCGTAGTAGACAATTTTGTGAGCATTTGTGAACAAGTAAAAATAAGAACATTTTATATCATCCCAAAAGTATGACAGTGATTTAAGAATGACACTTATGAATGAATTACAAGATCCATTTGGGGAATTATTTTATTGTTCTGCAAATTCGAAAGGAGAGATAGTAGCTTTGTCGTGCTTGTTTACAGAGAACCATTTCAGTTGAGTAGATACTTGAGTTTTACATCGTCTCAACCTATGTCTGTCAAGGTAAGCCTGGTAAATATTTAGGTAATTGAATCCGGTGTCTGACTGATAAATCATGTCCTTAAAACGAACTAAAGCTTAATAAAGTGGCATTATTACTCAATAACTACCTCCGGATTTTACTGGGACTTTGATAAACTCCAAGAGGAAGAACGGATATAAACCATTAGTAGTATCGCTACATAAAAAGACTAGAACATCTATGTGAGATTCTTACCAATACTGAAAATTAAGGTAGTTTTCAAGCCCACAAACTCACTCAGATAAAAACTATGAACTAGCATCTCCATATACCATGTAACCATTGAAAAGTTAAATATAGTAAATTGTGATTAGTTTGATGGGATAATTAGCAGTAAATTATGTTCGAAACAAGATCTGGTAAATAAATAAGTATTTAATCACTTTGTGTTGCATAAAGTGAACTAAATGAATGTGAAATAATACTCTTCCATAATGACTAAATCATATGCCACTTAAATGTCTAGACAGTGTTTACTATTCGTCAGTAGGACTGAAATATATTCTTTAGAGAACTAAGTTACCGGTATACAGCCTATCCTGGGATGCATGATAAGGCAATACCCTCATTTGCTCTGTGATATTTATGACTAAAACTGTCTATACAATGATATTAGTGTAGCATAATTTAGTTAAATTACCATTCAAAGTTACAAATTTTCACGGTTCACTCGTATTGAGTTCTAGCTTATCAGGATTAAGTAATCTTCAAAAGTTAATTCATGAAACAAACTTCCGTCACTATTGTGTATTCAGTATGCATTTCGCTTGCCCTAGCAACGTATTTGTTTGGTTACATACTTTCACTGATCGCAAAGTAGTTAGTTCTAATAAAATGTCAATTACAAGACTTTTAGCACGAGAAAATAATATAATGAAGTACGGTTTTTGAGTTGTCTACAACTTGGAGTACTGATACACATACTTATATATGGTTAAATGCTTGAACAATAACGTTATGCTTCACTTGGTCCGTTGAAAATGGAAAGAAGTGGTAAATGATAAAACATTTATTGTCAAGTCCATCATGTACGAAAAATACTGGTTGTATACATTTTCGATGACTTTTTTAAGTTCTACACTTTCTAGAAAGTCCTTCAGCCAATCTGAAACTTACACACATGTTGGAGTGACCTTTCAAGAACGTTCGGCATGCCAGGATTGACTGTGAAGGCTTTTCAGGGATTTCTAGTTTTCTTTGAACAACCTAGGGGATATTATCGCACTTTATAGCAAGCGCATAGGTAATCAGATTACGCTTTCGAGCGTTATTAAGAATTAACATTTCTTTTTTTCTGAAGCTATCTTAAGTTCATTAGTGAATTTTAAATGACCCTACAAGTATTATTCAGTTTGTTTTTAGAGACCCATCCTAGAGAGTTAAGAAGTTAGAAGTTTGAAAGAAATCACGGAAACAGTGATATACTAGAGTTTATCAAAGTTTAAAGTTCAGCTCATGCCAAAACATGTATGCTGCTGCATTTTTTGACTAAGAGATCTCAAACATAGCTAGCGTATGAGGAAACCTGAAACGTTTTCACTATAGTCGGTTTTTAGAAACACTAGTAGACTGTTTGGTACTTTATTCACCTTTAAAGTTTCACTAAGTTCACTTTCAAATTGTGAATAATTTCTGTTGCTTTTTGTTTCAAATGTCGTCTGCATATAACTACTTTCGAACCTAGGGTTTGTAGCTGATTCGTTGTAAGGAAGAGTTTTGCGACAACATTCCTTCATTTTTTTGTCAAAAAATACTTTTTTACTCAAAGTCGTTACCCAAAGAAATAAAGACGTTTGGCTTATGCTGAAGAAAATGAAAGAATGACAAACAATCTGCAGTTTGCTTGTAGGTTTGAGATATAATTTCATCTTAGTGTAGGCTTCGATAAATAGTCTGAGTTATGTATATAATATTACTTTGATCTATACCGAAGAAATGCATTACACTGCAAAATAAATTTTCGTTTTCATTACACTGAAGCAGTTTTGTGTGTCGATAAGTCTGATCGGATGGGCAGGTATTCGGTATCATTTTGAAAATGTCTACCACTTAATGTTTGCTTTAAATCAGATGTCTTTACATCCTAATTTTCTTGCAGTAGTTATCAGAACAGAAAGCCACATATCAGATACCATGTCAGTTAATTTCGCAGAGTATTCGCTGTAGTAAATGGATAAAAAAAGTATCAAATGGTTAGACTACTTAAGCTTAGCCATATAAAATATTTGAGTATATATATATTCAGGGCAATGGTCATCACGGAGTCATATCAGCTGTAGAACCATCGGAAACTTGTGAACGGTGAACAGCCATTTCGTCCTGGTCTAGGACTCCTCACAAATGTACATCCTGCTAGGAGTCAACCAAGCTGGGTGCGAGAACTGACACTTATCTATGTAACTGAATGATGGTTCCAATATGTTGTGAACGGACAGAAGTTAGGGATGTGAAATAGTGAACTCCAAACCATTGAATGAGTGCAAACCATGAGACTTGATGGTGATGGGATGAATCTTTTATGGGGCCATGTGTGCACACCGATACTAAGTTTTCAATAGTTCTACAACTGATAACAGCCTGTGATCAGTACTATCTTGAGATCGATCAGTCAACCCTTAGAAACAAACAAGTGAATATATATGAGATTAGTTTATTGCATGACGCGTTAAAATTTATGATCATCTCTTTTTGAGAAAGTTACAATTCTTCTTTTGTTATCATTGCTCACTATATGGAAGCGGTATTTATATCATAACAGTAATATGCAATGATTGCGAACTCACCTATGTATACCAGCGTATTTGCGTATTTACAGGTCTGTCTGTACGCAGCAGCCATGAGTGCTTTGTTGATAATCATAAAAATTAGACAGATAGCCAGAGCAAGTATTAGCCACTTCATTGTCGCATATATGGTTTTGAATGTTTTTCTACTCCACCATGATGACAAATTTTGTAGTCTTGATTCTCATTACGCTGTTGTCTCTGTTGGATTTTCACTACAACAACTGTGAAAGTAACTGCAAGAATAGCAGAGATGAAATCTGTTAATCCGCTGAAAAAAGTAGTTATATGGAAGATGAGTAACTGTGACAGTAAAATATTGGACGTTTATACCTTTGAAAGCGTAATATTGTTTAAGTTACAGATTTCTTATTTCTCAGTGAACTATGCATACAAAACAGTAGTGCTGGACAGGAAATGTGGATTGGAAATGAACTGATGCTGAAATATCTGTAGTACAGTTTTCTACCTCTAAGTTTAGCAGCAGTAATAATCTATTTCTTATAGCTAACTAAAACTAATGACTACTTAGTACTAACGATTACCAGACACGGATATTGCTTAGGTCTACTCTTTGAGTGCGTCCTCACCAACCAGTTACTCTGTGATTACATTTTAAAAATAAGTATGTCTGAAACAATTCCTGGTTGCTGCCTGGGTTTTATTTGTCCTTTGGGTTCCTGGTGGAACAAAGGGCTTCAGTAGCACGTCACCATTCCACTCTGTTCACTGGAGTCTTTCCAAAGTGGCTCAACGTCTGCCCATCACCTATCATTTCTTCCTCACACGATCTCCTCCATATCACCCTCGGACGCCCAACTCGTCGCTTTCCATTTAAATTCTTCCTTAGGAGTTTGTGAAGGTAGCCCTCCATCCAATCGGCAGACCTCTCCTTCCCATCATTCCAAACTTCCGCAGTTGTACCTGCGTCTGTTCTCAGTGCTTCTGGAGCAATTCCATCTGGTCTCACTGCTTTCCTCATTTCAGTAGCTTTCTGTCATTCAGGACTTCAACATTTTTTGGAGGGCTTGTGTTCACTGATAGTTCTGTGGCTGGGCTACTGATGGTATTTCTGGACGAGTTGCAATTGGCGGTCGATTCAAGAGCTTTCCAAAGTGGTCACCTAATCATTCCCTTTGTTTACCTTCTTTGGTAACCAACTTTCCTTCGCCATCTTTCATTGGTTTCATGTGTGTTGTGTTGATCTCTTCCCTCCCAGATAGTAACCTGGTTATTTCATACAATATGGTTAGGTCTGTCCTAAATTCACCCTGTTCCGCTTCAGTTCCAAGTGTGTCGTAGAAATGTCTCTTCTCTTTACACGCACTTCTTTGTAGAGTGTTTTATATGTTGTACTCAGTTCTTCTTGTCCTTGTTCACCACTATACTGCACCGGTTCATCTTCTGCTGCACCATCTCCCTCTACCTGCACTATCAGCTTCCATGTGTCCATCGAGATCCATCCCGTGTCTTATTTCCTCTCCCTTCCTATTACGATTATGCAGGTTTCTTCCCACATAGCTTCCAAAGCGTTCCAGTGTTCATCCAATCAGGTTTCTTCAGGGATGTTGCTCGATATCTCCCACTTTGTTTTGATGGCTGACGTGAAGATGTCTCTAGTAACTTCGTACTTCAGTTTCTGTCCTGGGTGTTGAACTTGAACTGTGATCTGTCGATCACCAACTTCCTTGAGGGCTTTTAACTTGATTTGGAAGGTTCCTTGCACTAGATAGTGAGTGGTGTGAACCTACATCTGCTCCTCTTCTTGACCTCGTGTCAAGTAGACTGCATCTCCACTTTCTTGATATTGGGATAAAGTCGATCTGATTTTTAGTGTGTCCATCTGGTGTCTGGTGAAATCCATGTGGCTCGCTTTGTGGATATCCTTGTGCTTGAACACACTGCCCCACTCCAATCACCAAATCGTTGAATGCACAGAATTCTGCAATCAATTCTCCATTCTCGTTCATCACCTCACCGAGTGCTTCTCGACCCATGGTTAGTTCTCTTCCCGTGTTGTCCACTACCAGTTTAATTGGCATTCATGTCACACCACCCATTAGAATTTTGATATCGCCAACTGGAGTGGGGTCTTGTCGAGTGTTGATTGCAGTTGTCTGTAGAATTCCTCCTTCTTCTCTTCATCTGCATTATTTGTAGGTGCGTAGCGTCGCTTTATACGACTGTGACTCTCCTTCCTTTTGAGTTGAACCTTGCTGTCATGATCCTGATGCTGCAGAGGGAGATTGGTTCCCACTGCATGAGAGAGAGCCTTCGGTGCTGTTGGGGACATCATGACAGCCACTCCGAAACTCAGTGTTCTGTGCTGGTGGTTGTCATCTGGGTGACAATATCGGAGTAGATTATTGACTATGAAGTTGACAGTTTGGAGAGTCCACTCCCATTCCATCTGCTTTCACAAATTCCAAGCACTTCGATGTGATTGATACCTCTTCATCTCGTTTGCAATCTGGGCTGCCTTGCCAGCCAGCTTCAAACATGTTGCGGACATTCCATGTCCTCACGTTTACTTTCGCTTTAATTGAGAGAAGACACATCGGCCTGGCTAATTGGCTTCCTGAAGGCTTTCACCAACTGGCGTCATTTCGTCTCTCCGATTCGAGGGAGGAATAATTTTGTTATTATTTTTTATATTTTGTTTGTGCTTTGAAGTTTCTTTAGCGGTTGGATTTGTTTTACGGGGTAGGATTGCCAGCCCTTTGCCCAACCTCCCCTCTTTATCCGAGCTTTAAAGCAGCTAGTAACTAGTGAACTAATATGCAAGGCGGGTTTTATGAAATGCAAACTGAGCATTAATATCTTAGCAACCTAACTAGAAAAAAGTTAGACTTTAAATACCGCTTAAGCAAGTGATACGACAACCAATTACATTCTTTTATTTTATGAAAAAGTTCTTTTCCAGGCGAAATACCCATCCAGATTGGTCATTTTGGCATTTGCTGGGGGGCCTTTAAATTCACTAAGAAAAACTACAGAAAAGAGGTTTTAGGAATATTACTAACCCACCATTTATTACAACAAGCCCCATTAATGCACTAATCGAATCAGTTATCAGTTGAAGAGGTTAACAGAATGGCTTTCATCATGGAATGTATCTTCGGTAACCATTCCCACTAATTTGATCTTTATTGATTCCTATGACTGAAATAGTGTTTTCGAGCAAACTCCTCACAGTCGGCGTAAGATTCAAAGAATGAGGTTGAAATCACCTTTACGGCGATGACATTATTACTTGATGATATTTTCAGCTTCAATAAAAAGAGGTTTCAAGTTTGATTGAAAGACTCTCTAGAACCTGATCCTAATAGTTATGACCGTGATAAAATTATGAACTAGAAATGCCTTTTTACCAACTTATCATCTGCTTCTATAGTAGTAAAATCAAATTACTCAACATAGTAATAACCAATTTTTTTCAGCAGATACAATTTAAAAGTGACATGCAGTTATAATTACAATTAAGCAAGACCCATTCATCACAATGCAAATGCCAAATAGACTGTTCACTTGGTACAAGTGACATAGGGTTTGTCATTAGACACGTCCGTTTCAGGATATGAAAACACATAGCACCCTGATTGTCAGGATCACGTCAAATTCGTTAGAATTTCTTCTTTAGCACATCTGACAGACACAGGACACCAAATAGGGTGATTAAAAATCTTTTAGTCTGGTGCATCGCTCCCCGAAAATCTACTACCTGGCATCCGTTCAAGCCTTCTCCATATGGTCGAAGCCGTAGCTATAAGATCGACCAAGCTTGAACTTTGGGTTTAAAGGAAACACGTTCAAGCCTTATTCCTTTCTAGGTCTTCCATCGAATAAACACCATTTCATTATCCTTTTTTTGTCTCTAAAGTTTTTTTGTCCCCTTTTTTCTCTTTTTTGAAACAAAATTCTAGCCAGATTTTCCTCTAGTCTTCCATATGCATTCTAATAAACCGTTGAAATCCTGTTCATATGTTTGCTTAATTAGTTTATCATTCACATTAGTATACTTTTATAGTTATACAACCTCAAACGTTTCACATTTTGACAAATTTGTTGTGAAATATCCACTCCATTTCTGCCCTTCTGGAAAATTCATGTTATCCTATGTACCATACACCCGCCTTCTTCATGCTGCATACATTCACTATGCCTGGCCATCAACATTCAACTTATCAGCACGGTCGATGTACATGTATACAACTCACACTGTTATTCGCAAACTAAAAACTACCTAATTGTAATCATAATTGAATATCCACTCTAAAATGCATTCGCCGAAAATTTGGCTAGTACTATGTTGACAAAGTTGACTTATAACTGTAGAACCTGATGAGAAGTTACTGAAAAAACATTATTTGTTCATATTTCGCTTACAATATATGAAATGAGAATCCCTTATCGTTTAAAGTACTATAAAAATACTCATTCAATAAACTTGTGACCGACTTTTTGATACTACACTGTAAACTAATCACTAGTTCACTTCTCTCTCAGATTTTTAGGAAATGAAAATAGCAGCTTGTAGAAATAATGATCAATGAGTACATGAAGCAATAGACTAGAACATAAAAGGATGTTTTGGAGTATTTGTTTTACTTATGTCTATGGTGTAAGACTACATTGCTAACCATACAAATACAGTGGTGGATGCATACAGTGTTGCCAAATTGTTAGGTAGATTGTGTTACATCATAAAGTGACTTTTTATATGTGACATCTTTCCCTATAGATATTTATGTCGGAAGCATAAGGATTAGAAAGTTAAACAGTATTATAGGTGCAAATCGCTTTGCCTCAACTATTCAGAGGTTTCACCACAGTTTTTGTGTTGAACATTCCTGTGGTCCCACTGGGTTTGCTTTAAGCTAGCCTACGGTTAAAAGTACCATGTGACTGCACAGATTCATCAAATGAGTACTGAGATATGCTATATAATCTACCCTCAATAACTAACTCAAGTGTAACTAATGTTCTCATGATAGATACATATTTGACTCAGTTGCTTCGGGTAAGGTGGGCACATTTGTAAGTCATTTCGGCAGTTTTCTTACAACAAAACTACTTAAGCTAGTTTGTTCATGCATTTTAGTCAGTTACTTGGATAATACATCTTAAGAACTATGAAAGTGTAACGTTACTGACGATGATTAAGTCATAGAATGATTTGCTAATATAATTTTGCAATGAATTTCTAACGTATGAAGATGATTAATAATTTATTGCATGTTTCAGTCTTAGCTGGAGTTCACAGCATTCTATGACGCTTTCTGAAAGTGAAGTAATAATGTAGAAAAGAAAATGGAAGATAATGTTAAACATTTTCCAACCGAATTCTCGTGGTGAGTTGCTGAACAGTAGAAAATCAGATAATGTAATTTTCAGTAGATATCTACAGGATTAGGAAAAAGATTTTCTAAAAATTAACTTACTACAAAAGAAACATCGAAAGTGATTGAATCATTCTGTAGTATTTATTCAAGAGATAGTGGGAGAATACAACGATGAATGTTCAAATGATGCAACACTAAAACCGAGAGTGTGTCTCAAGGGTTCATTGTCTACCAAATTATTTAGTAAATAAACTAGATTTAGTTATGATATGCGTTTACTTCATATTCACTTTTAAATACTTGCTAAGCGAAAGTACATTTGCCACGTATTATTTCTTATCATTATATCAAGTAGGTTTGGTCAGTAGCCGAGGAAGATCTTCAAAGCTTTTTTTCTTCAAATGCGCTTTGTAAGATAAAGTGGAATGTTCTGTTATGCATGATATTAATTCTCTAAGCTGAATAGTTTAATCATGAACCTTTTATTGCTCTTCTAAGCAATATCAGCACTAACTGCAGTACAAGGTGAGATTTCACGATTTATCTGCAAGTGATATAACATTCTGCGCAAAAGTGATATGTACTTTTTTGTTTCCCTTGGTTAGTTATAACATCAGTTCAACATATTTTTTGTAGCGGCTGCTGATTAAACTGATATTTTTATTTTATTCAATTATGAAGGATTTTTTTTCTTAGCTTTGTAATCGTATTATTTTTCAGATTATTATAATAAACCCAAATAAGTGAATGCAATCGGTCAATTTGGTCATCCTATGAAAAAATTGGAAATAGTTAGAAGTTGTTCACTAATAAGTCGTATCGTGAGCATCTAAACTGTAGAATTTTCATCGAGATAGTTATCAAAACTTTAATAGGGGTAGGAAAGTATTCAAAATGCACACATGAAACTCCTGATAAACTTTACTTCAAAGTTTGATCACCCAAAATCAAAAGACATACACATATATGCCAACTTGTTGAGGATTCCACAGAAAAGGTGAACCCATAAGATAAACAACTACATACTGAAGATCTGTTAGTATAGCTATTGTGCCCAACATCACAATGAATCCAAGTGTGATAGTGAAGCCATCCAGGTATTTCAAAATCTAAATGAAAAAAGAAACGTATTGTAAATCGTCATCTTTATTGTATGAACGGCTGATTTGCAGGTTGAAATTACTCCGAAAAATTTTTTTAAATTAAAAATCTATGATAATAGAACAAGCATTTCAAGTAAACAGTGGGATTGAAAATAGTTTTATTTCCCTAAAGTTGACACACTGTATCGGTTCGTTATTTCCGTAAAACAACCTTTTCGTTGAGTTGGCTAATAATATGCGAATAAACTGCAGTTATCTGAGTTTATATAATTACCCAGAAAAGACACCATTGTAATCTGCTGGATTAAATTATTCTTTAGCTGACATTACTTCAAAGCGGCATCCAAATTTTAGATTATCAATTCGTATTGTGAACTGATAAGATTCAGACACTATGGCAAGGCATAACTTCATTATAGTTCAGCTGGAGTATGATATGATTATGAGAAATAATTTCTGTTCCAAATGTTATGAATAAGGAAGAAAGTCTCACTATGTGTTACAAAAATATATAAAAAACTACAATGGAATCGAAAATGATCAGTTTTGTTCTGCCGTATTAAAAAAACAACTGAAGCTTGTTTCCTACTAAATGAACAACTTACGAAAAGGTGTCTTATTCATTTGGTGGAAATATATGACAAACTGTGAGGAAAATTATAACACATGTGGATAACCCTTTCTAATATGCATTCATCAACCTTATGAATAGAGTTTCGCGCTAAACTGACACAATGAAATCAGTTCTGAAGAGTTAAGACAAACACAAAGTCATTCGATAAGAAGTAAGCAACGCAGTACGATAGTACTTTTATAAAACACTTGCCTTCCACTTCCGAAGTTGGATATTATAATTATGTTAAATTACGCGTTTAGAGTTTCTTTTTGAGAACTTATTTTTGGCATCTACTGATATCTGTAACGGTAGTAACATACTACACCCGACGGAACCTCGATACTTTCTTCAATTACTGCAGAATGTTTGCTAAGATCATTATTATAAGTGTAAACTTTGGGCACTGTGGCATATTGCAATACCATTTTAGATTTGTTTATTCGATATACAGCACACGGTGATACGGTATTATTTACTTGATGATATTTTAAGCATAAATTATTGCTAGCAACAAAATGATATGCTAATGAGCAGTAATTTATGCTTGAAACGTCATCAGGTTAATAATACTAAATCACTGTGTGCTGTATATAAACTAAACAAACGTAAAATGAAATTTTCTAAGATCGATCAACTCTATATGAAATAATGTAAATCTGTGGGTGGACTAGATTACCAGTGATAAAAATTATTTTGAAAATATGTTTGAATATCAAACAGAGGATTTTGATATCACCCGGTAGCAGTACTTGAAAAATGGATCGAATTTAGGTTGATTGCATAAAAAATTAATTGGGCGTGTATCCACTTGTTAAATCATTTCACTTAGCTAATTGTCATTTTATGCTGAATCCTTAGTAAATGTTTGAAACAGTAAGTGCCGTTTGTGGATTTGGATAACGTAGTAAGAAGACTTAAATTATCTGAAAAATATAATGTATGTGCACTAAGCATTTCAAACAGTCTGATCCCACATTTTATTGTTGTGCTATTTAGTATGAAAAGAGGAAAAGGCGAAGGATAAATATGACTGAGATGAATTCAATGGTAAAAAAGATAATAAAGGAAGAAAGACAATGTTTAGGGACAACCTTGGTAATACGGTAAGATAAGCATTAACAGGGTAGGTTTGACGTAAGAGTACACTGCTTTTAAACACGCAACGATGGACTTAAATTTGTGTCTGGCTAGCGCTTCAAAAAACCTATGTATACGCCCCTGACAGTTCCGATGCGAAATTATGAAAGTTGTTTTGATATCAGTTCTGTTATCTTCAGAGGCGTATACATAGGTTTTTTGAAGCGCTAGCCAGACACAAATTTAAGTCCATCGTTGCGTGTTTAAAAGCAGTGTACTCTTACGTCAAACCTACCCTGTTAATGCTTATCTTACCGTATTACCAAGGTTGTCCCTAAACATTGTCTTTCTTCCTTTATTATCTTTTTTACCATTGAATTCATCTCAGTCATATTTATCCTTCGCCTTTTCCTCTTTTCATACTAAATAGCACAACAATAAAATGTGGGATCAGACTGTTTGAAATGCTTAGTGCACATACATTATATTTTTCAGATAATTTAAGTCTTCTTACTATGTTACCCAAATCAGTAGATGACCATTTTAAGGTGGCACCTTCATATTATCGGTTAAATAGCTTGTTCATTTTCCCCTTTATTTGGATTATTGTCTGCACTTTTCGTGTGCCCTTCAGAAAAGGCTCCTGTCAAGACCTATTTTCATAACCTTAGTGGACTATGTTGTTTTGAGAAAAACCTATTTGATACACGTAAACACTGTATACTATAACCAGTTCAATCTTAACCACCATTTAGGGTAGTATCATTCTTTTATTATCACAAAAATCAACAATATGAACATTATTCAGCAGTGAAAAGTCAAGTAACCATTCTACGTTTAGTCTTCAACGCTTAGAAAAAGTAATGTTTTCTTCATTTGTATTGATTAACTTTGGGCAGAAAATCGTCACAATCCATCTACCATTATTTACTGAAAACTCTTGTCAGATGTTCAAAAAATCTTACTTATTATTCACTGAAACTCGTGAGTTATGTTAGGATTTTGTTGATTTGTAGTTTGTACTTATCCCTTTTTGGGTTTTGAATTGTGAAACACATGAAAACTAAACACAACCTATATCAAAAAATTTGTCGCCAAAGATGACTGAAGTAAAAACGATTTTGTTATCCTATTTAAAATGTACTAACTCTTTTAAGTGGTTCGATAAGAATTTTTATTCATTAGTATTACCATCAAATAAATGTGACCTAATAAAATGAAGAATAATCAAATCAAATAGGATTGTACACTTTCAAAGTCTCATTACATTTCACTTTCAATGTCATATAATTCAGCTATCAAATATGTGAATGAAGTGTCATGTTATTGATGGTACATTTAGTTTGTTTTTTCAGTTTTACATATTTCTCATTTGCCAGAATTTTGTTTTATGTTCACGTTGTACGTTTTAGTTCTCAAAATATTTTTCAGTCTCTTAAAATTTACTTCTTGTTTAGATTGATAAATATTCACATGCTGATCACACTATTTCTTATTGTCCGAACAGATGCATAGTAGGGGTTTATTCAGTTTCATCCTCAAATAACTATTCACATAACTGTTAGACTTTAGATTTATATTACACCTTATTCCAGGTACCATTTTTCGGTCATCGCTCTTGGGCTAAAAGATGAAACCTGCCCAATCTTGCAATGAAGTACATGTCTGTTACACTTTTCACTTTTACAATCAGTGTACTTTGTAAAATTTTCAGTCAAATATGACATGAAATGAAAAATTCCTTATCTTGGACTCATAACAGAAGCTGTCTTCAACACGATACAACAGAAAATAAGGAAGTTACATCTCTATATTACATCTACTTCAAGATTTCGAATTCTTCTTATCTAACCTTTTGAAATACATATTAGTGTTACACCTTCTAACAGAGAAGCAGTACTCCAGATTTCGCCACTTTCTGGTTCATAACATTGTTTCTAGTCTGGACCAAGGTACTAAGTATGTTCGCTGTACCTTTTCCAATTACACACCAACCTTTGACTCTGTTACCAGATCACTCTTGTTAAGTAAGCTTGCTGTTGCTTATACTGAGTTACGGGTTACAAAACGGTGAGACTTTTATTTTTATGAAAGGAAACATGATACTGTTTATAAGAATAGGAGGTCCACCTCATTGGCTAATGAAGCAAGCTTGCTTCAAGATGCCATACTTTCTCCGTTTTTGTTTTCTTTTATTTTCCATAACCTACCTCATTCTGCTGAAACTAGTTTTATCAAGTATGCTGAAAACCTGATGGTTCCTGTGCTAGTTAGTCCCGACTTAGATTGCTCTTAATCAAATGATTTCTTGTCTGAAAGTGACCAGTGCTGTTCCTCAAACGGCCTTAAATGAAACCCTCGTTAATGTCAAATTTATAATTACAACCTCAGGCGCGAACAAGAGTGGTGTGGGCTACTGAGATTCCATGACTTCTGCATTGATGGTATTACTGAATAAAAAGTAAATCGAGTGTTAACTAACTTAGATTGAAGGTTGCTTCTGATCTTTGCTGGTCATCTCATATCCTGTCGGCTCCCAAGAAAATCATTCATCTAACATATTACATAAAGAAATAAATGCTTTGGTACATCTCAGACTCTACTTTTATGAATTATTAATGTCTGCATCTTACTCATTCTTCTGTAGTTTTCCCCGCTGATCTTTTCTGGTCCACTGAAAAAGGATTATGTTGCATTGCTTAAGGCTTTGGAAGCTGTCGGAAAGGTAAGTGATGTGCCTCTGACTCAACTGATTATTACTGTAGTTGACATATTTAAATTGCGGCGGGAAACTAACTGCAGTAAGTTTAACTGACGCTGAGCATCCACTTTATTCATAGGTCTCCTTTTATTTGCACAGAGGGGACAAAGAAAAAAACTGTATGTTTGTACCACAAAATGAAAAAAATCAACCTTATCCTAGCCAGCACACATCTTATGTGAGGAAACGTCTTATGACTTAACTCACTTATCAACTTTGTAACAATAAAAGCCAGTGTTTTCAATATTCCTGCCGTTATTGTACTTTCCCTCGTTAATGATATTATTTGCATAACTTAAATGGTTACATTTACACTATTTGAAGTGTTGCAAATGAATATTTATTTTTGTTGCAAATTGTCACAAACACAGTTTGGAATACAGTGATTATTATTATTATCACTTTCAAAGAAGACTTACACCATGGTATGTCTTAAATTTATCGCTCCATTTATATTTTATTTCAATGTCGATTTGATAAACATCGGATGTTTTGTTATTTTCATTAATCGTCATCGACTGTTTTTTCATGTGAGGTATATTTTCCTGACTAGTACCATTTTGTTTGAATAAGGTTTTTCTATTTTTGTTTGTCTCTGGTAAGATGAAAATCAGTATTAAACTTGGGATGAACAAACTAACGTAAGCAATCACAGAAGCTTTCAGTCCATAAGTATAAATTATGATACCTAAGTAAAAACACGCAGTAAAATAAAACGACAACATTAATAGCTAATAAAGTAGGCGGGTAAAATCTTGAAAAATATCCCTTAATTTGGACACAAAATGATTTTAGGCAAACTAGGTAACAAACATTACTATTGAGGTTATGAAAGTATCTGATACAATAAAAGGTTGCCACTTGTATTATCTCATCCTTGATTAAACCAAATTGGTCCGTCTCTATTGACATATAGGATCCTGCACGAATGCGTCAATATTACTTGTGTTTCAGTCTTACATCATTGATGGAGAGTGGCTAGCAGCTGAATCCGGGACATAGATCTCGTCTTATGTCTGACTTTCAGCAGGATATGCCTCCCTTTCAGTGAGCGATGTTGTTCCTCCTTTTGATCTGGACCCGGGATCTATCGATTCGAATGCAATAGAGTTATCTATTAGGCCACTGCGATTAATATAAAATTGAAAAACAGGCAACACTGAGGCATCTGCACAGGAGCCCATGTGCCAACAGACACCAGTCAATTCGGTTCATTCAACAATAGGATAAAACAAGTAACAACACTAAAACTATCTGCACTGCACAGGAAGTGGCTACCAATCCTCGGTGGCCTATTAGATAAGGCTCTGGTGCTGGAAGCGATCGGTCTCGGATTTCAGTCTTAGTGCGAACAACGTCCCTCACTGGGTGGCGAGTACATCTAGCCGATGAATCCCAAACAGGACGGAATGCGCACCATGATACCGCTGTCAGCCACCATACATCATTAACAACAAAAAAGCACCTAACATGAACAACTTACCAAAAATATTCAAGTTGGACTTCATTCAAGGTAGTGTTAATTATGAAGTACACAATTTTCATTGTCACGGAATTACCGTGGGTTTTAGAACCGAAAACATAAGAAAGTATTAGTTTTTAGCTTAAAGCAACTGAAAAAGCAAATATAATTCACAGAACAGCGTGCTTCATCACAGTGATGTGAAATATAGACGGTTGAATGTTGTTCACCATTGTGTTACAGTTAGGACTTTTCGACAGAATAGGTATATATTTTCAGTGTAAAAGTTCTTTTAGTACTCTGTAGTAATCAGACCGGAATCATTAAAAAAACTGCATATAAGGTAATTCTGAAGTATGAATGTAAAAATACTTGACAAAAAGTATCATATTTCTTTTCAAAAACCTAAAGTCTAAAAGGAAACAAATTTTTAAGATTTGTGAGGAGCATACAGCACCAGAGAGCTGTTACCTCTTAATTTGTTAATTTGTAAGCGTTAACAACAGTGTGCATTCGTCCGTAAACTTTATTCATCTCGAGAAACATTCACCACGAGTGAGTAATATGTGAACAGTTTGTATATTTCAGGAAGATATAGGGTCAAAGAATAAGTTATGACATCAGGAAGTTCATGATAGCATTTCATTTGATATAAAACGTAATGATATATTATTATTTGCTGAATGTCATATCGAGCCTGAATTATTGCTCATTATCACATTTGAATAACCAAACGACTTCCGAAATTAACTTACATATGGAATACGAAATTATGCGGCATCACAGTGCTCGAGTTCTACTTTCACAATAATGATGGGAGTAAACTAAGAAATTATTACTATTTGTCACATACGTCCCTAGTGGAACATAGGGATTCAGTAGCACGTCTCCAGTGAACTATGTTCTCTGCCATCTTTTGAACCTGGCTCCACGATTCCCCACAAGCTCTCATTTCCTCCCCGCACGATCTCCTCCATGTCACCCTCATCTCGGACGCCCAACTCGTCGCTTCCCATCAGGGTATGCCCAATCCATCTCCACTTCCTTACAATGAACAGTTGTTCAGCGATAGGTTCTTGGTTGGTTCGTCACCAGCCACAGTGAGTTCATTGCTGCTCATTCTTATTATTCTGACCATCTGATCTTCAGTAACGAGCCAGCGTAGACAGTTGTTGATGAATGTCTGTAGTTTGTTGGAAATGCTTTTCGTGACGCGCCAAGTCTGTCAACCATCACATAGAAGCAGTGACTGACTTGACTGAAGTTGGTGTTGAAAATCCGGATCTTGTTCACACTTTATGCTGAGTGCAGAAGATCTCCACACTGGTTTCAGGCTAATGAACACCTGTCTTGCTTTTCCGATCCTGCCTGGCTTCGAAGTCCTCGTCTGTGCCGCCTGTAGTTGAAACGATGCTGCCTCGCCTAGATAGGTGAAAGAGGCTGCTTCCTTTACATTTCTCCTGTTGATGGTGATTGGAGTTTGTTGTTGTTGTTGTTGGTGGTGTTGTTGGTTGGTTATCTTCATCACCTCTGTCTTCTCTACATACACCTGAAAGAAGTCCCATCTTTGCACGCGCTTCTTCGTCCAGTGTAGTGTTTTATATGTTGTACTCAGTTCTTCTTGTCCTTGTTCACCACTATACTGCACCGGTTCATCTTCTGCTGCACCATCTCCCTCTACCTGCACTATCAGCTTCCATGTGTCCATCGAGATCCATCCCGTGTCTTGTTTCCTCTCCCTTCCTATTACGATTATGCAGGTTTCTTCCCACATAGCTTCCAAAGCGTTCCAGTGTTCATCCAATCAGGTTTCTTCAGGGATGTTGCTCGATATCTCCCACTTTGTTTTGATGGCTGACGTGAAGATGTCTCTAGTAACTTCGTACTTCAGTTTCTGTCCTGGGTGTTGAACTTGAACTGTGATCTGTCGATCACCAACTTCCTTGAGGGCTTTTAACTTGATTTGGAAGGTTCCTTGCACTAGATAGTGAGTGTTGTGAACCTACATCTGCTCCTCTTCTTGACCTCGTGTCCAGTAGGCTGCGTCTACACTTTCTTCACATTGAAATGAAGTCGATGTGATTTTTAGTGTGTCCACCTGGTGAAATCTAATCCATGTCACTTTGTGAATAACCTTGTGCTTGAACACACTGCCCCACTCCAATCACCAAATCGTTGAATGCACAGAATTCTGCAAACAATTCTCCATTCTCGTTCATCACCTCACCGAGTGCTTCTCGACCCATGGTTAGTTCTCTTCCCGTGTTGCCCACTACCAGTTTAATTGGCATTCATGTCACACCACCCATTAGAATTTTGATATCGCCAACTGGAGTGGGGTCTTGTCGAGTGTTGATTGCAGTTGTCTGTAGAATTCCTCCTTCTTCTCTTCATCTGCATTATTTGTAGGTGCATAGCGTAGCATTATACGACTGTGACTCTCCTTCCTTTTGAGTTGAACCTTGCTGTCATGATCCTGATGCTGCAGGGGGAGATTGGTTCCCACTGCATGAGAGAGAGCCTTCGGTGCTGTTGGGGACATCATGATAGCCACTCCGAAACTCAGTGTGCTGTGCTGGTGGTTTTCATCTGGGTGACAATATCGGAGTAGATTATTGATTCTCCAGTTGACAGTTTGGAGAGTCCACTCCCATTCCATCTGCTTGTTTGCCCGTAACTCTTTAAATAAGAATGAGTTTATGCCTCTTCGCCAGATTAATCTCCACATGCAAATTTTATGAAATCGATGTACGCTAATATATCTTATATGTAAGAACTGAAAATGAATTTTTATTCACAAAGTGCTTTTGATAATAAGATTACGGAAGGATGTAAAATGGGTGTGAATTCGGATATAATCGTGTTTGAGCTAATATATCTGTTTTAATTAAAGTTACATTCAAATTTGACACAACTATGGATTAATTATGATTGCTCATATAAAGTCTGCTAAAACCCACACTAATCAAAACCGTAAGCTTCAATTAAAAACTTTAGGAAAATTTGGAGGAAAACACTTACATGAAGAGTTATTGGAATTCTCAACAACTTACTTTCTCTCATACATCTTGAGTTATGTCTTTCGTTAATTCGTCTTAAATTAAATACTAATATGAGGCCGAAATCGATACATTTAAGTGGATAACTTCAAATGAGTGGTAGCGATAGACTACGCATTTACATATTTTTGAGTAATTGATGAAGACACTTATTACTTAACCGGTAAAGATGGTTTTTATGGCTGTTTACTTTGTCACAGTTTTACATTCTCAATACTTGATAGTGATTCTTGACTGGGCTTTCTATTGCTGATAGTTCGTTTTGTAGTTGACATATCAAATAAAAACATTTTGGCACACATTTTTGGTTTCGGTTGAAACGTTTTTAATGTTACTCGTGAATGCTAGACTTTAAAATATTGATCAAAGAGACATAAAGATAACACTTCTAAGCAGATGCCATAGAACCATGATTTAAACTATGACTTTGAAGAATACAATAAAAAGTCATCAACGTTCTACTATACGAAAGAGTAGAAAACACTGTTAACACATCTGAATTACATAAATAGAATGGGTGATACTTGAAACAAAACGTTTTATACCATCAAGCCTATAGCACTAGAATTAGGAGAATTTGAAGTGCTTCCTGACTAAATACTCAATCTCATTTCAGCTACATCTCAATGCTTAACAAAGGTGACACCACTGACAGAAACAGTATTAATTTCAAAGGGCATACGAATGCGGAAGACATTTAAAGTGGCATTGTTGAGCGTTCAAACAATTAGAGAATATCTAAAAAATATCTGAAAAGAATGGAAATTTGAAAATCCACATTTATAAGTGAACTACGTTTTTATGAATAAGTGTAACTGCTTTAATAAAGTAATAAAAGAATTTACGTAACATTATGCAAGGAGGGTGAGTAAAAACATTTTTATTTTTTCTCATAAAATTGAACAAGTTCAATTGGACCATTGAATGCATATTTTTTCAGAAGTAGTTTCTGGTAGAATGTCCTATAACATTTCAGAAGTTCCATGACATCAAAATCCTTATAGATGACATCTTAAACTAGAAAAAGATATCTAATATTATTGAAATAAATAGAAAAAATAGAAATTACCGCTCAACATATATTATTTTGTCATTTATCAAAGAACAATTAGAAATCTTGTTTACAGTTGTCACCATTAGGAACAACTCTTATAACGCTGTCATACTGAATGACATTTTCAACTTATCACATTAGCATAATAAGATTGAATGTTTCAGTTCATGATTTCCTGAACAGCAACCATGAGTATTAACCAATGAGTGGAACTGTACAATCGAAGCCGTTACAGGCTATAAAACAGAAAATATTTGTTCATAAAACGCTCAGGCGTTCTCATGCTCTCAGCTGATCAAAACTAAAGAATAAATGTTACTTATTTTTAAATTTAGGCATATGTCAACCATTAGTATAATTGCTTGTATTATACCGTCGTTGACTGGACTAAATTGATATATGAGCTCCTGCGCGGATGCCTTGATACTGCTTGCGTATGAATTATATATTAACAATATAAGGATCACTGGAGGCAGATACATCCGGCTGATGAATCCCGAATAGGACGAAACGCACCTATTGGATCCCGCTGCTAGTCACTATTCATCAATAATATATGTTAACCACTTTCTCAGTTCCTGTCGATAGAACTATATTTAAAGTAACTCAAGAGGAGTTTCTACACAAATGTTGTTCATTAAAGCGTAGTTTTTACCAAGAGAGAAAATGAACAGTTTGAAGAATCACACTTCAGCACATGCTATGCATTTCACTTAGTTCATTGAATTTTATCTTTACCCGTCCAGATACAGGATATGCTAGTTAACTCGGATAAATTGCATGAGTTGCATGCTTATTTTTAAGTAGAAGCTGAATGTTTCGAATCAAGCCCAGATTTACTACGCCAACTGTATAACCCTTAATATCCCTTGCTTCCTGGGATTTTCATATAGAATAAACACCATAAATCCTTATGATTCCCTGCTACTGTTAGTTAAGTAGTTTGTATGTTGTTGAAATGTGCTGATGCTCAACTTGTGGTTTCTGATAACTAAATATTTCCCCCATGCATATCTGTTATTAGGATAACATTTACCTAGAGTTAAAAAGTGAATAGTAGGACCAAAGTATAAATCAACCAGTATCATTGGTTATTAATGTTATCATAATACAATCCAGATATTGTATCGAAAAAAAGGTTCTTAGCCAAATTGTTCAAGAGATATTTGAAGAAGTTCAAGCAATAGAAATTCACATCTTTCATTTTTATTCGTCCTACGTATAGGAATTAATAAAAGTCGTTTAATGAAAATATACATTGGTAAGATGCACTTTTACATACCTGATACTGGACTGGAAAATGAAGCACTTAAACTTGATATACTATCAAATATTGTAAATAATATCCATAACTTTTGATCATAGGTTTTCTTTTTTTCGTGACTGATGATTCCACTATTACTATTATTATTTATATCGTCATCATTGTTCGTTAACTGCACGACATCAACGAGAATGGCCGCTACTATGGCAAATATGCACAAAAGACCGCCACCAAATACTGCCTCAAATATACCAGGGATGAAAATGAACCATGGATTCCATTCAAATAAAATAATTAGGCCTATTTGGATTTAAAAAAGAAAATATGGTTAATTTTGATAATCTACTTCTATGGTAAGTTAAGAAGTAGTACTAAATATCTTTTAAAAGAAGCTAGATATATGGCACAAAGGAATATACATTTACTAAGAGTAATTCTGTTTTGGCCACTAAAGTTTGAGAAGTATTTGCAGAATTCTTCTAAAGAAAAATACACAGAAATCAAACAGACGTTTTGGAAAAATTAGTTGAAATACTAGAAACGACGTACAGCACTATTTAAAATGGAACTGCATTCACCAAAAAATGATTAGGCTTAAGAGTTCTGTATTCAGACTTCTGTTTACCTAATGGAGGTCAATAGTAAAGGGGAATCTGAAACAGTGACACTGAATAATGGTAGGATAATAACGCAAATTTATCGAAGCCGAACAAAGTGGATCACTGGATTCCAATCTAGTGGTTATATCTAACATGCTCACAACAAGATTTGATTGTCCTGAACTTGTATTTTTATGAGGTTGTTTGCACAATACTAAAAAGCCACAAAATGGATGTCCAGTGCAGTGAGGCTCTCAGTTTTTCTATAACAACATATTCCGTGATGGAAGGGACTGTTTAAAACATTTCCAATTAAAAGTCACTGTCACCCAACCGCACAACACAAACATTCCTTTAAGATGATGATATTTTCCCAAATTACTCAACTTCATTTGTATAACTTGATAGATACTACTTCGTATGTTTACTCATTTTATACAGTCTGTGCTCGCTTTGGTCGCTTTGGTCTAGTGGTTAAGATATTGCGTTGTGGCCACACTAACCCAGGTTCGAATCCTGGCAGCGACATCGCCGCTAACCTCGCCCGGTAAACTAGTTCAATAGTTACTAGCCCGTCATAAGCCCAGGTAAAGAAGGAAGGTTGGGCATAGGACTAGCAACCCTACCCCGTAAAACAAATCCAACCGCTAAAGAAACTTCAAAGCACAAACAAAATATAAAAAATAGTAACAAAATTATTACTCCCTCGAATCGGAGAGACGAAATGACGCCAGTTGGTGAAAGCCTTCAGGAAGCCAATTAGCCAGGCCGATGTGTCTTCTCTCAATTAAAGCGAAAGTAAACGTGAGGACATGGAATGTCCGCAACATGTTTGAAGCTGGCTGGCAAGGCAGCCCAGATTGCAAACGAGATGAAGAGGCATCAATCACATCGAAGTGCTTGGAATTTGTGAAAGCAGATGGAATGGGAGTGGACTCTCCAAACTGTCAACTTCATACACAATAATCTACTCCAATATTCTCACCCAGATGACAACCACCAGCACAGCACACTGAGTTTCGGAGTGGCTATCATGATGTCCCCAACAGCACCGAAGGCTCTCTCTCATGCAGTGGGAACCAATCTCCCCCTGCAGCATCAGGATCATGACAGCAAGGTTCAACTCAAAAGGAAGGAGAGTCACAGTCGTATAATGCTACGCTATGCACCTACAAATAATGCAGATGAAGAGAAGAAGGAGGAATTCTACAGACAACTGCAATCAACACTCGACAAGACCCCACTCCAGTTGGCGATATCAAAATTCTAATGGGTGGTGTGACATGAATGCCAATTAAACTGGTAGTGGGCAACACGGGAAGAGAACTAACCATGGGTCGAGAAGCACTCGGTGAGGTGATGAACGAGAATGGAGAATTGTTTGCAGAATTCTGTGCATTCAACGATTTGGTGATTGGAGTGGGGCAGTGTGTTCAAGCACAAGGTTATTCACAAAGTGACATGGATTAGATTTCACCAGGTGGACACACTAAAAATCACATCGACTTCATTTCAATGTGAAGAAAGTGTAGACGCAGCCTACTGGACACGAGGTCAAGAAGAGGAGCAGATGTAGGTTCACAACACTCACTATCTAGTGCAAGGAACCTTCCAAATCAAGTTAGAAGGCTTCAAGGAAGGCTTCACATGATCATGGAACAGATCATAGAATGGCAGTTAACTCTACACCTCAACTTCATAGACTTTGAGGAGGCCTTTGACAGCGTCGACCGACAAGTAAATTAGCAATTGCTTCAATACTACGAATACCGCAATCCTTTATCAGCCTCACTCGACAACTATATGAAGACGCCACATACCAAGTAATTCACAATGGGAAGCTCAGTGATGCTTATGAAGTGTATACAGGAGTGAAACAAGGTTGCCTTATATCACCCATGATATTCCTGATTGTGGTGGACTGGATCATGCAGCAAACATTAAGGAGTGAGAAGAGGGTGATACGCTGAACTGCGGAGAAGAACCTAGAAGATCTGGATTTCGCCAATGATGATTTGTGTCTAACGTCGCACAAACTTGAAGATCTAGAGGCGAAAACTAACAAGTTGACAGAAGAGGTGAGGCAGGGCAGCGAAGACAGGACTTACTTCAGGTGGACGTAGAGAAGACAGAGGTGATGAAGATAACCAACCAACAACACCACCAACAACAACAACAACAAACTCCAATCACCATCAACAGGAGAAATGTAAAGGAAGCAGCCTCTTTCACCTATCTAGGCGAGGCAGCATCGTTTCAACTACAGGCGGCACAGACGAGGACTTCGAAGCCAGGCAGGATCGGAAAAGCAAGACAGGTGTTCATTAGCCTGAAACCAGTGTGGAGATCTTCTGCACTCAGCATAAAGTGTGAACAAGATCCGGATTTTCAACACCAACTTCAGTCAAGTCAGTCACTGCTTCTATGTGATGGTTGACAGACTTGGCGCGTCACGAAAAGCATTTCCAACAAACTACAGACATTCATCAACAACTGTCTACGCTGGCTCGTTACTGAAGATCAGATGGTCAGAATAATAAGAATGAGCAGCAATGAACTCACTGTGGCTGGTGACGAACCAACCAAGAACCTATCGCTGAACAACTGTTCATTGTAAGGAAGTGGAGATGGATTGGGCATACCCTGATGGGAAGCGACGAGTTGGGCGTCCGAGATGAGGGTGACATGGAGGAGATCGTGCGGGGAGGAAATGAGAGCTTGTGGGGAGTCGTGGAGCCAGGTTCAAAAGATGGCAGAGAACATAGTTCACTGGAGACGTGCTACTGATGCCCTATGTTCCACTAGGAACCCAAGGGACTAATAATGATAATATTAATGCTCACAGTAAACGTGAAGAAACTTGTTTTTTGCAAACTATTCTTAAATCTGACTTTCATAACATTTACTGCCTTTGAGAGTGAACTTTAAATTCAAAGTTAAGATATTATCCTTGCTCATTTAGTGTCTATAATGAGATTTAAACTTTTGTGGAACTCTTGAAATACACTTGTCCGGCAGGTACAGCAACTAACAGTTAACGGCAAAAGAAAATAAATTATTTGGACACACTTCACAAGTGACGGAATAAAATGTAAAATATTGTTTAATATAAGGGTCAACAGACTTGTAATTCCAATGTGGAAAATCTCTCCGATTAACAGAATGCCAAGTGCTATTCGTCGACCGTACAAATCAGATATATGACCAATAATTATCGTAGTAAATAATCCAATGATCATTCTTCCTGAATTACTTGTTAGTTCAATCAAAGCAGACTTCTTTTGAGCCAATTTTAATTTGAACTGATCATCTGTTGACCTAAAGTAAAAGAAGATAAACGTGTCATTCATTTCTCTAATTGTTACTTATCAGATATTTACAGGTTAAACAAGCTATAGTTTTATATATATTCTAAGGTGAAATATAATGCAGGTAAGAAAATACGAGATTCAACTTTATTGAACCTTCTTCGTATTTTAAAAGCCTCTTGGAAATTTAAAACACTTTTCCTATGTTCGTTAAGCTTCATGTTTAGTTGAAATGAAGCAAACTTCTAAGATTCGTACAGAGTAGTGTTTATAATTGACATTTTGTTTTTACGTTTTAGATTAACAGGATATCTTTCGTATATATTTGAAGGTTGGATATACAGAATCATTCAAAGGCTTTGAGGAAATGGAAACCTTTGCATGTCTTAGAAACTTCATAAGACTAAAATGATGGAATAGATAGGAGCTCTCCGTCTGATCCACTATTGCTAATGAAGTTACAGTCCTTTTGCTGATAGTGTATATCGCAATAGCGGAATTACTAACTCTGATGCTTACTGCATGGTGGAAAACTTCAGGTGTTAGGAATATGATGATGAATGTAGAAAAAACTTGTTTTGTTCAACATTCATTGACAAGTCCAATTACTGAAAACAATAAATATCATTAACTCAGTGGACAAACTTTTCCAAGCCATTAAATCCCAATTCGGGTTGAACGTGTTTAAATTACAAACAGGAATGCATGTATTATTTCTGTTTGTTGACATACTTGTAGTTCTCCGTTGCAAGATTGGATCAAATTGTTCTACTTATGTTGGCAAATGGGCTCTTATGAGGATATCTGGATATTGACTGGTTACCGATTATGATGTAACTTTCTTGTTGGTGGCTAGCAGAGGAGTCCAGAACGCTTAGACGTTTGAAGTGATGGGCCTGAACTCCGAGTATGAATGAGAACACATCCTTACCAGTTGTAAGGTTCCTTACAACAGTCGTACAACGTAGGAAGCCATGCACAAAGACTTATGCTTCAAATTTCTTTTTTTACATATTGACTTACGAAGGAAAGGCTTTTCCGTTAAAGTTCAACTTTTTAGGGGTGTTCTCATGACCACACCAAACTTGTGTGGTCTGCACAGCTGTTTGCCTGCAGTTTAACTCTCTTATATGATTTAAATGAACTGCAAGCTTAACTCAGAAAGTTTCAAG